AATAATTATTCCCATATGAAAGTATCTTCCACCAAAACATATGGGATTGACTGAATGCATCTCTGACCATCATGATTTGATTGGAGGCATCAAGGAGTCAGATTAGCAAATCATAACAGTTATAACAATGCTGATCAGTGAAGTCAAAGTACAAATACACGAAGAAATTCATTTTTATTTCATTGGGACCTTTGAGTAATTGAAACACACGACTTGATAGCAATGGGAATGTTTTCAAGGATTAATGACAGGATAACTGTTTCAGTTTTTCCAAGCTTTCCTAGCCCCATAAATAAAGGATGTCCTATGTTGGCCTGGCCAGCCGCGCAGAAGACAAATTGCACCAAATATTGAAGTGATTTGATTGGTGAAAAAAAACATATTAGATCACGCAGACCAATAATAAGGAGGTTTCAAAATACACAAAAATTCAACAGAATTGTCCACGGTTTAGCATGAAAATTGTTCGAAAAACTGGGCTATGGTTTGCAAAGATTGATATACACTTTTTTAAACACCAACAATAAGGTTTCAAAATACACAAGAATTTGACAGAATTGTCCACGGTTTAGCATGAAAATTGTCCAAAAAACTGGGTTATGGTTTGCAAAGATTGATATACACTTTGTTAAACACCAATAATAAGGTTTCAAAATACACGAGAATTTGACAGAATTGTCCACGATTTAGCATGAAAATTATCCAAAAAAGGTTTGCAAAGATTGACATACACTTTGTTAAACACCAACCAGTTCCTGCCCAAAGTATAAGTGAATCCAGGGAATTTATCCATCAAAATGACACAGACGTATTTTTTTTTTATTATTCACCTCAAAATTCATGGATATTGGCGGGCGAGCCCATTTTTTCTTCTCTGACGTAGGGAGTAATTCAATCTCAGCACTGATTTGTGATTCTTTCATTCCACCAATACGTTTCATCTTCCACACTATGGCGTTCTCACTGGCCTTGTACTTGGCTTTACCTTTCATGCAAATAACTTGCACACCACTTGTATTCAAAGGAGTGGGAATACGCACCTAGTGAGGGAAAACGTACATCAAATGACATTTTTCAGATCAAGTATGTTAACAGGACATCACATAGCACTAAAATATTAACAAACACTCGTGTGCATGAAGTGTGGAGAGCACAAAGTGAACAAGCTCCCAACCACAAACATATTCCTGTGTTATCTAATGTCAGTGATCACTTTCCATAAATC